GACCTCGCGGGGTAGAGGTCACCAGTTGTTTGGGCCACGGTAGTCCCAAGCATTTAGCCAGCTTCTTCTGAACATATAATTCCGGTATGTACAGCAGGGTTGCAATTGATTCAGCGGCTTCTAGTAGTCGCTTGCGGACGTACCTCGAGCGGTTCTTTGGGGCCTGATAGATAATTTTGTAAGAATCGGTGAAATTTGTGGTGTGCGCTGTATCAGGTATATGCGCGGCTATTGAAGAATTAGCTGCTTTTATGCTTCTAGTTCTAAGCCCGATCGGATGGTGTTCTTTCATTTCCTCAGCTAGACGCCTAGTCGTACAACCAACATATTCCGTTACACAGGAGCATGAATACACACTGAGTTAGTGTAGACAGGCCTCTTATGCTTTGAGTTTAGCCTCATCATCGGAATGCTAGTGAACTGAATTTGCATCTCCGCTGCCGGTTGGGTGCTCCTGAGTGAAAACGAAGGACGACTACATAGAGGTCCCCTCACAACCTCGCCCTTGTATGGTAGCTGTAGAAAGAATGGCATACATTATAGTCAAAAATACAAATTGTTTCCTCGTATGTTCCATATTGGCTTTGATGAATCTCTCCAGATGGCTAATCTCGCTTAGCACTAAGCAAATGCACTCCAATTCCTTTGGAAGCGTGTCGTTCGAGCAGTTAGGTTCAGCTCGACTCATTAGAGTAGTTAACAAGTTCCGTTTAAACCTAGGTGGCACAAAGCTGTAGAAGCCTGTGTCCTGTCCATTCCACGTACTTTTCCTATGAAAGCAGCGCTGTAACGCACCCCCATGCAGTCTTTTCACGGCGACATCGAGGAAAGGAAAGTGACTGTTTTCCTCAACTTCGCAGGTGAACCTTATTGTTGGATGGACTTGATTGAACGTGTGTGTTAATTCCTCGATACTCCGAGACGATTGAAGCAAGACAAAAATGTCCTTTACCCAACAATAATATAAGCAGAGAGTTGAGATTGTCGGCTTTAGCTTTCCCTGTCCCAGCATGACTATGAAGACGTCGGAGAGGAACGGACCCAGTGGGGAAACCATCGCTACCCTATCGCACTGCCGGTATAATTCGCCATTGAATAGTAACTGAACATTGAACGTGCATCTGAGCAATAGTTTCTTTAGTATCACCGTGGGTATGCCAACCTTAATGTGGTTTGCGTCAACATACGCACAGATGTAGTTTGGAATAAACATGTGCCCATGAAGTTCAAACGAAAGCATATTCCACGGTAGTATCAACCAAACAACGTACGTGAACCTCTAATCTCCAGTGTAGAAGACGGCTCCATCAAAGAAATCTATCGAAAACATTCGATAAAAAAAATTGCACAAGTGCTAAAGCATCTCTAACATGCTCAAACCATAATAAGGTAGTTAAAAGAGTGGCAGATAATCGGGAGAGATGAAGTCACACGGGACGGTCGTAAGGAATCCGAGTACCCGAAGGAACGCGTGGCGCAAAATCCTGGGATCAGCTGAAGAAGTAAGTTGAATTGCGGACCTCGTTCAAATCGAAGGTGCCTGGTGAAAAGTAACAAGAAAATGGCGTTTAAGATTTAGTGCTTTCAACGGTGAACAGAATATCACTATTGGGAGTGGGCTGAATATGACGTATCCCTAAGGCGGCCAGATATTTCGCGAGCCAAAGCGGGACACTTAACCTACCTCCTCATTGTCTCAGCATATGCAGACCCCACAAAAACCTGAAAAGCTAAATGTCTACATGTATTGTTTCACTGGGGACACCTTTACTTCCTTGTGGTTTAAGGCGTTTGTGTGGAATGACACGAATTTTGCCTTCTCCAACATTTCTTGTAGCTAGTCCCTGGCAAATTTGACCAGGATATCAGTTATTATTGCCTCACATTTCGAGAGGGCATAAGCAAACGTTGGTTCAAACAATTTTATCTATCAACTTGCTGGTCTAATTCATTAAGCGGAAACTGTGGTTATGGATCACAGTGTGTTATGCGAAGGTATTTTTTGCAGTGCCAACTTGGCTCCTGTGTTCCCATACGCTACTGATCAGAGCTAATAAGTTAAGGGGGTAGAAGATGCTGCCGCAGACACTGCTACCTTATGGTGATTCGATTTTACTTCCTTGGTGACATCTGAGCTGCCACGGTGAGCAATAGGAAATACGGATTTGTATGTGTCACATCGAACACGTGAATCTTTGAATGGAAAATCGCTCTCCAACTGAGTAGTCATCTTAAACGGTTGTTTAGACATACTTTTCCCACCAAATTGTACGAAATGAGCACACTCACCACTAGACATAAAATTTTCATCCTTGCTTTTCTCCTCTTTTTTATATTGTCGCAAAACATCCAATTGCAGCGTCGCCCACTCACGCAGTCGATTATCTCGCCCAATGACTGGTGTTGTACTTTTTTCAACTACATTCTACATTCTCAAAGCTGGACATTTAGAAGTCGCCGAACTCCACGCGGAACATCAGTAGGTTCCGCCCAGCACTGTTAAAAAACCGGGGTCGACAGCTTGAAATACGAGACTGTCCTGCTCAATTCAGGACGAATGCCCGAATTTTATTTGAGTGTGCTAAACCAAGAAAAAGCGACAAAAAGATGGTGGGACGTCGCGAAATCAAGAGTGACCCGACGCAGCCGGATCCCTGAGCTATCCATAAACCGATCTGAGATGGATACCGGTATGAATAATCCACACAGTGATCACCGAACCGAGACGGTGTAGAATGCTTCAGAGTGGCTAGGTGCGTAATAGTAGGGAGGAAAGATGACGTTGCATACGACCTGGGAGAACCGAAATTCGACCCGACTAATTGTGGGAACAACAGGTATGATGCCAACCGACCGGATCAACTGGGCGGCATGAACGACTGAAAGAATTGTGAAAGTTAAGCTATAGTGTCCTCAGATTAACGAAGGAACAATTTGCTCACCAGCTTTCGGAACGCGATCCAGGAGTGCGTTGAAGGATAGTGCCTTGGATCTTTTGAGTTCACAGCTCATTTGGGATATTTCACTGGGGTAAAAGTAATAACAAGATAAAATGTATCAGCAGTATACCGAGGCTTCTCTGCCGCGCAATTATCAACAGTCGCACATGGGCTACGGATAGTGCAAACGTCGCCCCTACGCAGGTTCAAACCCGTACCCTCGGATTACAAGACATGATTGTGAACTTTTAAGCCAAGGGCCGAATAATCGACAGTCTACAGTAGAAAGAAGCCTAAAAATTCACAGTGGAAAAATGGATGGGTGGTGAACTTACTCGGGGGTGTAAGCAAACTTTTGCCGCAAATACTCTGCGAAGTTGTGCAAAATTGGTTCGCTGTGAAGGGCGATGAATTCTTCGCGACATATCTGAAACAGACATAAATGTTCCGTGAGAGTTGACATGCGCAAGACAACAGTGCGCGTTTTGATGCGCCGCTTGAAGCTCACTTCATCAAGAACATTCTAGATCGCACAGAAATTGCATGACATCGAGGGAAGTATGGGGGTGGGATACAATCTCAAGCAGTGTTAACTGACAATGGCTACTTTAATATGATAAAAACCTAAAGCATTCTGTATTATCCTCATCGACAATTTATACAGACGCAACTAAAAAGAGATCCCAACGAGGAGGAATAATATGGAGAGAAGGGGGATTTAGTGTAAAGACTACACATAGCAAACATTCTTGGTTTAGACGTCGACATTACGCCAGTGATACGGTCACAAACAGTTCGGTTTCGCGCGAAGATGGCATTTCGGTAAGACAGGGTCCATCAGAGTTTCACTGATCCGCGTCATAAGCTGTTTTACTTCGCAGATATTTCAGCCTCAAGCTAATATTAAACAGATGGTCCGGATAAGAGACGACAGTAATTCAGTTGCTGATATCGGCTGCGAATTGTCGTTTAACGCTTGGAGTCAAACACATGATGAGTGGCGCGGGTTCCAAACTAAAGCGCCAGTCCTCACTTCAGTGGCTAGCAATATCAATCCCCGATGTCAAACAGTGACTGACTATATCGAACTTAATGCCACGCACCGTCCAGTATACAAAACAATCTCCTCGGTAAGCATACAGCGAACACAAGTAAACCGTACGCAAGAAATCTATTAAGTCTTAAGCTGAATTCAGCACATCCAATCAGGCAGAAAAACAGCACACGTCAGGAAAGGAACTGGGTAGCCGTTTCAAGAATCATCAGCGGTGCTTATTTTACCGGACCCCGATACCACGTCTAGTAACGTCGCCATGTTATAGCCTCTCCCCGTGACCCAGTAGTCCTAACCATGGATTGGTCAGAGCACGGCCGCGGGTTCTACCCCTACACTGAAACATGGATCGAATGTGTACGGCTGAGGATTCTCGAAAATATGACATGGCCGCCTAATGATTTTCAGGATGTGTGATGGCTGCCTGACAAAGTCTAGATAGGATGAACTCCACAACAACCATTTAGAGGCACATACAACTTCCTTATCCAGTTTCGTTGATATAACGAGTTGTCCTGATCGTTTTGTTATAGTGCACAAATGCGCAACTGGCTATTGTTGACACGGTCGATTTTCCTTTCGAGAGTCAAGACAAATTGTTGTGTAATTTGTGAAGCACAAAATCACATTTAGCGTACAAAAAGGTGAAGTGTTATTCACTTGACAGCATCCCACTCGCCAATTAGCACTTATGCGTTGCATGAAATCTCTCTAGGTTCATTAGTTCGCGCGCATTGTGCATCCACCCAGTTCGGTCGAAGTCACTAATGCTCTGCTTGGGTCCACAATGAACTTGATCCAGGCTTTGTCGCGACAATCATGTGCTGTCGTTTTGTCCGAGCGGTTGAGGTCCACTCGCGTGAACGGTATGTGATTCGCATTCTGTACACTTGTCACGGCTGGCTTACCGAACTACCTCCTCGTAATGTCAGCTAGGTGGTTCCGGTGTACATCGTTCCAACGAAGTGTTCGGCGATAGTGCTCCACCTCTGTGGGGCATTGTAGTAAAGCAATTCTGCTAATTTCATGGGGAGTATTTGGCCCTTGTTTGGGGATCTACCAAACAAAAATGCATGAACTGAACATTCATTCACCGACTCCTAATGGGCGCGATTTCCTGAATTGGCCCCGCTGCCAAGCAGTAGGCTATTAAGCCAAAGGCTAGGTGTGTGGTCCCTTAATTCGGCTGGGGTAACCGGGTAGTATATTTCTCTCTCACAAAACCATGGACTGTTACACAACGTGCTCATCGGCTACGGTTTCTGCTTTTCACATTCACGCGACCATCACACACCAATTGTTTGTTTGTTAACAATCCGCACTTTCCGCTACTCGATTCATGTGTTCAAAAATCTGGCTGCGATTCGGGTTACGCCGCGAACCACGGAGCTCAACCCATGGTTCTCCTTCGTTCCCGATACTCGTTCCGTCTGGTGTGCTTCAACGTTCGGACACTCATGCAGATTGGAAAGCAAGCTGGTCTAGCGTGCACCCTAGGGTACCTGGATATCAACGTATGCTGCTTTTCAGAAACCCGATTGTAAGACCCCCAGCACTGTCCTTACACTGACAACGAAGCCAGATATCATCTGCGTCTTTCTGGAAATCCAGAAGCAGTCTCAGCGCGTTTGGCTGGTGTAGGCCGAGGCGGCACTACTGGACTGGTTCCCGATTAACAGCCGACTATGTGCAGTTCGGCTTCGGGGTTCATGTAGAATCAACAAGCAACGCGATGAGAAGCGCAACTTGTTTGTGATCCCCGCCTACGCTCCAAATGACTGCAGCGGCGGCTCTGTCAAGGAGGAATTCTACCGGGATCTACATCAGTTCCTGACTAATGCTAAAACGTCGGATGTCGTTATCCTTGCTGGGGATTTAAATGCACGGGCTATCTGCCTGTTACCACCATACGAACGCCACCTTGAGTGGTCACCCCGCGCTCGATAAGAACCGCTCTGATAACGGAGAGAGGCTTCTCACATTGTGCGAAGACAACCGTCTGTTTCTTTCGAGCACTAAGTGCAGGCGTACGAAGACGCGTCCGGCAACGTGGCGTTCCCCTTCCCCAACACAACTGTAGTTTCAAATTGATCACATTGCAATTAGCTTCAGATGGCGTGGCAGCGTACTGGATTGCAGGTCCTTTTGGTCCACCTTCGTTGACTCAGATCATGCACTGGTCTACGCGAAAATCTGTATGTGTTTTGAAAGGTCCCGAAACAAGAAACACCGCAAGATTGATGTAAACAGATTAACCGACTCCTCTGTCCAGGCGAGCTATCAGCCTTCACAAACATACGAACAGTTGCAATCCATCGCAAGATATAAAGCGATGACCATTTCCGAACAGTCATGCTGCGGCCTAACTCGAAGCGCCTTAAAGACTCGGATCTCTGCTCGCTGTCTGGAGCTGTTCAACCGCCGTAAAGATACCTGGCGGAATCAGATTGCAATGAGCGACGCCGCTCTGACAACCGACTGCTCAAGCAAAGCTTATGAAAACATCGCGAGGCATGGTGGTCTGAGCGTGCTTTAGAGATGGAGACCGCTGCCCTCTCTGGCAACATTCGCAAGCTTTTCCAACTCATTTGGTCCGCTGGCCTCAGGAAGCCTGGTGGCAGTGAGGTTATTTGCGAGGCGGATGAGTCTCCGATCATTAACCAACATAGGCGTATGGACGGCTGGGCCGAGCAGTTTCATTCGCAATTCAACTGGCCTCCACAGTCCATCAGTAGATGCTGTACACCTTGTTGTCCACCCTGGCTCGTCCCAGTGAATCCACCCAACGAAGCGGAAGTCTGTCTCAAGTTTCGACGCTTGAAGAAGTTTAAGACTGCCAACTCAGATGGACTTCCTCCGGAGTGGTTCAGATATGGCGACGTGGCGATCATTAAGCAGCTGACGTCGCTGTTCGAAAAACCTGACATGAAGAGAAAGTGCCTTCCTCTTGGGGAGAATCAGTCATTGTCCCGATTTTTAAGAAAGGCGCTCGCACTTCATGTGTAAATAATCGCGGGATTAGTCTTACTTCGGTTGCCACCAAGCTATTGCCAACTATTCTTCTCCGTAGACTATCCCCAATAGGTGAATTATACTACCGTGAAGCACGTTCCCGTCCCGGCCGCGGATGCGTGGATCAAATCTTCACGCTGCGCCAACTCCCCAAACATCGGCACATTTATCACAGGTCCACTATTGTTGCACCCCTAGACATACATGTTGTAGTGGACTTTGCTGATCGATCTGCTCTATGGCGTTGCTTGCTAAAGAACGGGGTATCAATGAAGTATATCTCCATCTTATATGCACTTTACCTTCATACATCTGACAGAGTGAGGGTCAACTGCAAGCTTACCTCATTGTCAATAGCGGTGTGTACGCTATATCCCCATTCCTCTTCAACTTCGCAATTGAAGACGTTTGTCGAGTGCTCTAGAAGGTTTCCAACATTTTGGCCTAAAGCTTCTACCGGGTGAGCGCGCGACTGACTTAGATTATGCTGATGATATCGCCTTACTTGGTGACGATTCTCAGGGTATACAACTCATTCTAGATCTGGTGATTAGAATCAACCAAGTGTGCCATCACGGCGCTCATCACAGTTTTGCTCATACCACTGCTCCTACCACTGGACAATTGCCTATGGGATAATTTTATCCCATTTTAACTCAGCGCACTCTAATGCCAAGTTCACCCTGGAAACGCGATGTCCTTCCTAGATGTTCAGCTTAGTAAAAGGCCAGATGGATCGGTCCCATGGAGAGTGCCATGAAAAGCAATGTGGGACGAACAATATCTACATATTGCCAGTTTTGTCCCAATAAATCAGAAACGCTACTTGATTAGATGTCTAACCGGAAGGGTCGGAAAGATTTGTAGTGAGGACACACTTGCGTACGAGCTCAGTTTCTTAAGGGACGTTTTCGTGAGAAATGGCCATCCAGAAAATTTGATCGGAAATATATGGAGTGCAGAGAAATGAGAGCTAAACTAGCTTCGGTAGAAAAGAAACCGGTTTATCTGTCGCTGTCATTCAAGGGGGATGGTATAGCGCAGGCAATATCTAGAAGGTTATCCGATGCTATGAGCCATACCTACTACGCAGCGAGCTTGAGGCTAAGCTTCACTTTGACACCAATCGTGAGGCCTCATCTCAAAGACAAACTTCCTTGGACATGTGTTTCTTACTTTGTATATTTATTCTCTTGTTCATGTCGAGCAAGATACATCGGAAGAACTGCTAGGAGGCTGTTTGTGAGAATACGTGAGCATTATCCAGCTAATCTACGCAATGGTGGGAGCAAAACTGTGATGAGCGCCGTGTTGACACACTTGGATTATTCTAATCACCAAATCGACACCTGCCAATCTTTTCAACCCATTTACCGTGTACCTAGACGCCTTTCACG